TTGAGTTCCCGTTGAGTTCTCGTGAGATTCAAATGGTATTTGGAAAAAAGCCTCGTGGAGTAGGTGAATTGGGCGGGTAGATTTTGGATTTCCCCTGAACGTGTGTGGAGGCTGGTGTGAGCTTGGGAATAAAGAATTGCTGTTTGAATCTACAAGGTGTGTGGTGGCTCGTGATTCTGTGCCCAGCTAAGACATTGGCACATTGGGAGTCTGAAGTAAGAAGGGTCAAAAGTTTGAGGCCAGCCTCAGTGATTTAGCAAAACCCTATCTCAAAATAAAAAATAAAAAGGACTGAGGATGTGGCTCAGTGGTAAAGTGCCCCCTGGGTCCAGTCCATAGTAGCACCCCRACCCCACTCATGCCCAGAGTGACTTAGACAAAGCACTTCTCCTGGTATCATGGGAGCACCAGATGGGCTGGCATGGGGTGAGGAGAATACAGGAGAAGAGCAAGTGCAGACTAYTAGAAACTGACTGAGGAGGGAAGAAGAGGAGGAGACTCAAGCTCAAGGAGAGAAGCCAGCCACAATGGCAGCTCAGCAGAGGAGCTGTGGTGGTCCCAGACTGTGGTGGGCACCAGATCGGAGTAACCAGGGGTGACCAATGCAGGTTGTCAGGTTGTTTATTTGTCGATACCTGATACTCTCTGATACCACTGYGATGGCGTCTTCTCTTTAATTGCATCTTCTAGTTATAGAATAAAAAGTCTCTCAATCACTTAAAACCCAGTTAGACATATGGGATCAGAGTAACTTTGGGTGAGGAATCAAGTTTGAAATCCAAACAGCTCTGACAATGAGCTAGTACAGGGGAACAAGTTGTGGTTAGGGAAACTCCAGGACCTGAGATGGAGTCTACCTGGACCCAAATTAGAAGCCAATTTCTTCTTGGTGCCTCCATGTGGATCTAGCCCCCTTCGATGGTCTGAATGTTTTTTTGTTCCCTCAAAATCCCCAATATGATAGTGTTAAGAGGTGGGGCCTTTGAGAAGGTGCCCTTTCTGGGCACCTGGTCCAGAATAATGTTTTAAATGTGTAAAAGTAAGTAAGATTATAAAGGAAATAAATTATATTGAAATACAGTTATAAAACTATATATTAAAGCCGGGTATGGTGGTACACATCTGTAATCTCAGCAACTCAGGAGGATGGCAGGAGGATGGCAAGTTCAAGGTCAGCCTGGACAACTCAGCAAGACCCTGTCTCAAAATAAACAACAACAAAAGGGCTGGGGATGCAGCTCAGTGGTAAAGCACCTATATATTTTTATAAAGCATATTTGCAATATGGTAATATTTACGCTTCTTTGTTAATGCAGCAAGTAACCCAGTCTAAGAGCTCTCTAATTATGATTTCAGTGTAGTGATGAGCTGAAATGATATTTGGAGCTATTTGCAGCAATAGCAACATGATACTAACACCTGTATTTTTCTTGGTGAGGAAGTCGATATTACTGCTAATCATTCTGTGACTTCTAGCCTACAGTTAAAATAAAGAAAACATTAAAATTCAGTTAGGAGTTGGTGATGATAAGTGTGCCATTTTCCTCTCCAAACAAGTTCATGGATCTCCTGAATCCATGAACTTGTTGGGGGAGTTTACTGAGGCCCCAGTAAAGAACCCCTGGTCTGAATGCTTGGGTTTCTTTTGTTTTATTATTATTATKATTATTATTATTTTCTGAAATGAGTCACAGCAAACTCTCATGTAATAGTTAGCAAGAAACCAATAATAAAGACATTTTACCCAGCACGGTGATGCACACCTGTAATCCCAGCAGCTTGGGAGGCTGAGGCAGGAGGATTGCGAGTTCAAAGCCAGCCTCAGCAACTTAGCGAGGCACTTAGCAACTCAGCGAGACCTTGTCTCTAAATAAAATATAAAATAGGGCTGGGGATGTGGCTCAGGGGTTGAGCACCACTGGGTTCAATCTCAGTACCAAAAAAAAAAAAGAGGGAGCACATGTTAACACACGGGATTAACCATCAACCCAAGATACCTCACACTGAGGATGGAGCAGCCAGGCAACTGGAAAGGGACTTCCTTTGTAGTTCACAGAACAATGACCTCAAGAGACTCTCAGGGGACTCCATCAGGGCTCAGGGCTGACTTGGGTGTGGACCAGGGCCCTATGAGAGTAGCCCTTGCTACACACACACACACACACACACACACACACACACACACACACACTACCCTGGAAAATGGCAACTGAAAATGGAGGAACTGGGGCCTAGCCCAAGGTATAAGAAGTGGACCCCCATGTAGCTTTTTCAAAGAAATACTAAACCATAGGTTTGTTCGTTGCCCACCTGCCTGCATTCTCTCTGCAGTTGTGTAGGGATCTGGGAGAGGCTTTCTGACACATCTCCACTCTCTTCCTACCTTCATAAGGGCACCAAATACATTTTTAGCACTTCTCACCGTTGTCCCCACAGCCCCCACTCTCTCCCCTTCTCAATTCACTTCACCACTGAATTCCTGCCTTTGCCTCCTTGGGCTCCTGCCTGCTTAGGCCCTCAGCCTCCTTTCCTGCACGATTTCCATCAAAAAGTAACCCAGATCTTATCAAGTGGACTGTTGAACCCACCTGCACACAGGAACAGGAGACCTCTAAGCTGTAGAGAGAAATTAGACCCAGTACCCACGGGGCTCCAGGTCTGGAAGTGTGGAAGTCTCTCGATGAACCCTTGGTTGAGCTACTGCATGAAGAACCAGTGATTCTGGAAAGCTCCCCAGAGTCTCTTCTGGGATTTCCACCAGGTCACCAGCTCTCCCTCACCCTACTGGCTTTTCTCAAGCACTGGCATTCAAGAGAAAGAAAAAAAGTTGTCAATCCATGTTATTGTTTTATTTGGCAACAGTGTTGCTTGCTACAACTTCTTCTTTTCTCCTTCTCCTCCTTCCTTTTTTTTTTTTTTTTTTTTGGTATCAGAGATTGAACCCAGGGACTCTTAACCACTGAGCCACATCCCCAGCCCTTTTTGTATTTTTATTTAAAGTCAGGGTATTGCTGAGTTGCTTAGGGCCTTGCAAAGTTACTGAGGTTGGCTTTGAACTCATGATCTTCCTTGCTTCAGCCTCCCAAATCCCTGGGATTACAGGAGTGCACCACCACACCAGGCTTCTTGCTACAACTTCTTCACTGCAATTGTGAATACACAAAATTAGTTTTGTGTATTGTGGGGAAGGGCTGGGGAGGGAGGTCTGAGAAGCAGAGGTATTCAGGAAATAAGGGCTCAGAGGGTTGGCAATATTCTCAAGGCCATGAAGCCAGTGAGCAGTTGGTCAGAAGTCAAGGTGTCTGCTGGTGGGGGTCTGTCTTCCAAGCCACTTGGCCCAGAACCACTGGGCTCTTTCTCTCTGCACTCATCAATGCCTGTCAATATTTATGTGTAGGAACCCTATTTTCATCAGACACTCCAGGAAAACATAAAGGGCTTTGTGGATGAATCTGTTTGGGAAAAACTATGTCTTTTCCACTTGCTGCTTTCTATACAAACACATGTGAAAGGTCCTGAAAAGTATGCAGAAAAATGCCAGTAAAGTTTGCATAACCCAGTGTTTCCCAAGTCTTCGTTATTTGTTTATATGACATCTACGGGTGGAATATCTGTTATCTGAAATGTATGGTACCAGAGTGTTTCAGGTTTTGCATTTTTCACATTCTAGAACATTTGCATATACATTATGAGATACTTTGGAGATGGGCCCCAAGCCTAGACACAAAATTCATTTTATGTTTCATATATACCTTATACATGTAGGCTGAAGGTGATTTTATATGACATTTTAAGTAATGTTGTGCATGTCACGGTTTSGTGGTATGAAATTTTCCACATTTGGCATCGTGTCAAAAAGGTTTGCATTTTGGAGCATTTCAGATGTCAGATTTTTGGAATAGAGATGGTCAGCCTGTATTAACATATGGCAAAATATATCTGGGAACAATACCAGCTTTTATTGTTATCTAGATGAACTGAATTGTCTGGGAAAGGATCAGGGAACTTTCTCTGGGTTGTCTGGAATAGTGAAGGCTGGAACTAGGATCATTTCCTGCAGCAAGAAGGGCTATGCCCAAAGTCACCTTTTTATTAGGCTGGCATCTGTGCCCACTGTGTTTGTTTGCCCACAGAGAAGGCCAATGTCATGCTCACCCCATGCAGCAGGAAGGACAGCATTGTAGTTCCTCATACCTTTGAGCTAAAGTTCAGCCCAAGTTTGCAGGATGCTGAGAGCATGGGACCTGCGGGGTTGCCGATTATCTGCCTTTGGCTCCTGTACCACGGTGTTTGCTGGTGTTCATCCTGAACCCAGGAGAAAGCAGACAGTTAGGTGTCCCACCTGGGAGTGCAACCCCACAAATCTGGACTTGTTTTCTCACTGTCTAATGTCTATTGAAATTTTTACCTTTCGAGGACCAGGGACAGCACCTTCCCCACTTGTAACTTTTTTAGCTACCTCCRTGTTGATCCCCTGGTAAATGCCCAGATAATTCTTGTTGGGCTGAGTGGGAGGGGAATCAATAACCCTCYGTGTTTCACGGTTTGGGGCAGGAAAGGATAAATGGTGATGTTGCAAATCCCTTTATTCATTACCAAAGCCTCTTTCTGCCCCAAGCAGCATAGAAGGACGCCCAGAGGCAGAAAAGAATATCAAGAGCAATGGCACACAGCTTTCTGAAGCTCTGCATTCCTGGAAGAGTTAGAGCGACTGTCAAAGCCCTCGACGTATCCATTTTTATTAGTTTTTTTGTGGTGATTTGATGTTGTTAGGGATTCAGCTCTCATCTTCGCCTCTGAGATCATCTGAATAACGCCGGGAATAGGGAAGGCAAGAACAGAGATGAGGCATCCACAGGCAGCCCTGGACCCGACCATATAAATCTAGGAGGAGGGTGGGGCAGGAGAGCCTGGGCTTCCCAGTTTGCTGGGCACGAGGCTGAGCCGGGGAAGCAGGAAGCCTTGGAGAAGACCGAGTTTTGCCTTCACTCCAGGTGGCAATGACAGGTGCCATGAAAGTGTCAATCATGCTCCTCCTAGTAACTGTGTCCGACTGTGCCGTGATCACTGGGGTAAGTCTCCAGCGTTCTCTCTGCCTGGGTTCCAGGACAGTGGTAGGGTCTGCAGGGGATGTAAGCCCAGGAACCACACAGGTGGGGCTCCGCCATCCAACACACCGCAAATCAAAGGGACCCCAGAGAGGGATGGTTTGTGATTAGTTGGACCTCACTCTGATAAACAGGGTTGGCTTTTAAGAAGCGGTGTTTAAATAAGATCTTTGTTTTAAATGCATTCGGAGACAATTGAGAATTTTTGAAGTTTTTAGTCTCTGGGAAAAATGAAGATTCCTGTTGTGTCATTGGGAATTCTTTTATAAAGTGGATTTCATCCCTTAATTTACCTTTTGTTTAAGTTTTGGTTTTCATAGACAGTCTGGTCCGCGTGTCAGTTTTGACGTAGCAGTATGTTGGCTTAATTAAGGGCAGTAATAGCTCATTGGCTGCAATGACATCAGTATCACCCCTGCGGCCTCCACTCGTAAGAAAGAATGTTTTGAAATACCTTTTGCTCTGTGCCCAGTTAGTTCGGAGAGGAATACTGGCGACACCAACATTTGGCTAAAAAATGCCCCCAACAGAGGCCAGTAGAGAAGCACTAGGGAGAGATACCAGTTCAACTGGCCTCTAGAAATGCAGACTGACAGCACAGGCTCAGCCCACGGGTGCTGCACACGTCAGTGCTCACGACTCTGTGGGGGTGATGTCCCCTCTGAAGGCTGKCTTTCACTTTGCCCCACTCTGGCATGGTTGCCGGTGGTGTTAGGCAGCTGGACTATTCTTACTAAAAGAAAGTAACACTGCACCTGTCTTGTCAAAGTCATGAGAAGAAAAGGGGAAATGAACTTTTATTTCAACCACTTCCACTGTTTTTTGTGGAGTAATGTCAAACCATGTCTGGAATTGGGTTTGTTTTCATGTTTGTRGAGAGGATAATTCCATTCTCCTTTCTAAAGGAAAAAGACTGGTTGGTTCAAAAGAGGCACATATAGGAAGGGTCAGCCATTGCTTTGGAGACCCAAAGCAGGCACAGAACGAGCATAAAGCATTGAATCTTGGTGGGGGTGGGCTGAAGGGAGAAGCCGGGAGGCCCAGCAGTCCTGCGGTCAGGATGGGAGCACCAGGTGGGCCCCGAAACCATGTCAACCTCACTTGGCCAAGTTCTGCCCTCTCCACATTCCTCTGTTACCTGGATGGCAAATGTCCCCAAGTTCAAGGCTGCATGGTCCCGCTGCCAGAGTGGGACAGCAATGCCCATCCCTGCAGGATAAGAGCCAAGTGGGGGTCTCCTTCCTCCGACTCTCAGCTTTCAGAGCATGGCTAGGTAGGAGGGGTGCCCTTGCTGGGCTGGAGACTGGCAGCCAGGTGACTGCTCCCCGTGCCTCCTCTGGGTGGAGGGAGTTGGCAACCTCTTTTCCTCCTGGGGCTGAGAAAGTGGGGAACTTCCAGTTCGGGTTGCAGTCCCCATGTGCAGCCTGAGCCCTCCCCAGCCTCTACTGGAAAAGAGCAAATCAAGACACAGCTTCAAATTTCAGTTCATCGAAAGCACTCAGCTTCTGTGAAGTGGCCAGTTCTGATCTCTACCCGAGTGTGGAGCTGTTTTGGTTTCCCAGATCCTAGCTTATGGGTAAAGTGGGTTTTGTGGCCTTCTTTACAAATGTTACCTTCTGGACATACAGAAGGGACATACAGTCTATTCTGGGAGCCGAGCCCTGTGGGGTCCATCCCAGAGGCCCGTAGAGAAACACTAGGGAGAGATACCAGTTCAATTGGCTTCTAGGGCGAGGGGTACCAACATGTGGAACAGGCATCAAGTAAGGGTGCTGGGTCTGGGCTGGAGAATCTTGGCTGAAAGCAGCTTAGCCCTGACCACCCAGGGGCTTGGGCCATCAGGGACCCTCCCAGCTTGGAGAATCCTAAATCACTCAGTCCTACCAGCATCTGCTGAGCATCTACTGGCTCTAGGAGAGTTATCCCTCCTGACCCACTGGACTTTTCAAAGAGGTCTGCCTCCCCACTGAGAGGTCTCCAAGGAGCTAGGACAGTCCCTCAAACCCAGATCCTGATGGACATGAAGCATCCTGCCCATGAAGGGAGCAGCGGCAATAACCCCAGTCCAAGGCATGCTGTTGTGATGGGGCCAGGTGACACACCACCCCTCAGAGGACTGCTGGGCTGCAACCTGGCTTCTCACAGGTAGTAGTGCTGCCCTCTCTGTCTCTGCAGGCCTGTGAGTGGGATGTCCAATGTGGAGCACGCACCTGCTGTGCCATCAGCCTGTGGCTGCGGGGGCTGCGGATATGTACCCCACTGGGTCAGGAAGGAGAAGCGTGCCACCCCAGCAGCCACAAGGTAGGTGGCCATGCAGCACACGTTTGTGTGTACAGGTGAGCCCTGAGCTGCACAGGCCCGGAGGTCCTGGGGCCTGGCTCTAGCCAAGATCACGGAGGCTAGAGCTTGTGAGTACAGTTCTGCTTTCTCCACAGCTGAGCAGGCTCCTGAATGCCAGAGGGCTGTCTGCTGCCCACCCCCACCAACACCGGCCTTACTCAGTGTCCCACAGACGATGTTTGTGCATCTCACAGGGCCTGACAACCTGAGCTATGATCTTCCAGTCAGGCTGGAGAACCACTAAGACAATTTGATTTTATAGCAGCCCTGGGCCAGGGTGAGGAAACAGATCCAGCAAGGTCACGTGACTTGCTCAATGCAGAGTCACCGAGGCAGCTGGGCCTGGAACTGCAGTCTTCTGACATCAACTCTAGCTACATGTCATTGATGTTGGGACTGCCTCCTTTGCGGGGACAGCCTGGAGTGCTGGTGGTGTTACCGCTGTTGGCCCGTGACGAGGAGTCCTTGCTTCCCCAATGTTGAAGTATAACACCAGAGAAGCACGCGGAGGCAAGGTCAGAGTGGAAAGTAGAGGCTTTATTAAAGGACAGCAGAAAAGACTTCTCCCGGAGGAAGAAGGGGACCCAAGAGGTGGAATCCGTGGAAGTGCGGTTGACTCCCCTTTTTATACCTTGGGTCCTCTTACTTCCTGTCCTCTGTTCTGTTATCTCTCAGTGATGAAATGAATGTAGGTGGAAGGCCCAAAGGGTGGGGCACAGGTGGGCCAAAGAAGTGATCTGGGCAGGAAGAACTTTTGGTCAGCATCTTCAAGTTTGCAGGAAGCTGTTTCATTAACATTTCTTTGGGATGGGCTCTGGGCCTTGGGCTTTTCCGGGACTTCATTAACATTCCAAAAGTTGTTCTGCTCCCCCCACCCCCCTTCATTCTCAACATGGCCTCCATTTTGGATCTTACTGGATCTTAGACCCGATTTCCCTAACTACACTGACGACCTCACTTTAAATCTGGCTTCAGGAGGTTGAATAGTGTCTCCTCAAAATTAGACTGTTAGACCTGGAGAGGGGGTTATGGCCATTTCCAGTCCTTTCCTTGCTGTGTGATCTTGGGTAACTAGCATGACTGCTTTTTGCCTCGTGTATACCTTAAAGGGAGCCCACTGATTACCCCTGCAGTCTCTTATCCATCTGAGAAATCTGGATTTTGAAAGGGTCTCAAATGCCCTTTGCTCCCTTGGAAACCTGCCTTCAAGAAGGTGAAATCAGCTGGGGGAGGTGGTGCCTCCCCGTGATCTCAGTGCTAAGGCAGGAGGATCGCAGGCTCAAGGCAACTTAGTGAAGCCCCCAGTGATTTAGTGAGACCCCGTCTCAAGAATAAAGAACAAAAAGGGCTGGGGCTGCGGCTCAGTGGTAAAGCACCCCTGGGTTAAATCTCTGGTACCAACAGAACAAAACAAACAAACAACAAAGCAACCATGAAATAAGACCCCCCCAAAATGATGGTTCTAGAGCGGGACCAGCAGGTACTTGGAACACATTTCAAGAAGGCTGTCACTCTTTTGTGCCCTAAGCATCTAGTGGGCACTCTGCTTCCATCCCCTGGCAGCCAGCTCCCAGCCACAGRGCCTTTGCTTCTGCATGGTCAGGGGGTGCAGACAAAACTGGGGGGCGGGGTTAGGGGGCTATGCGGGGTGGGGCCTGACATCCAGATTCAGGCGTYTTACGAGATTCAGTGCCCGTCAGGGGTCAGGGGTGAGACTCCTCCAGTAGTGTCCCTCTCAATCTTGGTCTTTTCCCCACACCATGAGGAGGTGGTGGGGACGCTGTGCAGCTCGTCGGCCCCCTTTGCCTTGGAGTGTGTGGGGCTTCAGTACAGATCCGTATTCCCAGCGGGGACCTGAGTGATAATAAAACTAACTCGGAGGGCCTCCTACAAGCCACTCTTCCAGCCACATTGTAGGTGCTATTAGCCCATTTTACAGAGAGCAGAGTGGATGTGCAGCAAAGTTAACTAAATTGCCAGTTGTCACCTGGTGTCTGACACTGAACCTATGCTGGTGGATCCTATTCAGTCCCCCTCAGGATTCCTTGGTGATCTGGTGGTCCTCTGGGCAGCGAGTCAGAGTGCAGAGACTGTGTGTCCCACACGGCTGCCCCCAGGCACCCACCAGAGTTGAGCGCACAACAGACCTAACACGTAACAGTAGGTGCCCAGTCAACAGAGCTGGGCGTGGGTGCTGCGTCTGAAGGCCAGGCAGCCTGGGTACACATCTAGCTCCTCCGCAGGTGAGCCGAGGTCCCGGCATGCTGCTCGATCACCCTGTACCTCGTTTCCTCAGCTATAACCACTAGTATTGCTGGGCGAGGCTGTGTGGGAGGTGGGGTGTGGCTGGAGGCCACCCCTGTGGGTGAAGGTGTCCCTCTCTGCTCTCCCCAGGTCCCCTTCTTCCGGAGACGCCAGCACCACACCTGTCCCTGCTCACCCAACCTGCTGTGCTCCAGGTTCCTGGATGGAAGGTACCGCTGCTCCGTGGACTTGAAGAACATCAATTTTTAGGAGCTTGTCCAGGCTCAGACGCCCACCAGGCTTCCTCCCGAGTCCAGCCTGGGGTCACCTCTTCTGGATTGTTATTTCTACCATGCAGCCTGCTCCCACCCCCCATCCCTCAGTCCTATACTGCCCATCTGGATCTTTCCTGTCTGGTATACAAGAGGGCACATGGCACAGCGACCTTCACTATGGCACAGTTGGGTCAGCCTGTGGTTGCTGGCCCTGAGAGGTGGCCAGCCAGCTTCTCTCCCCTGTTCAACCTTCCTGAGAGGCTGTGAGCTGTGGAGAGGACATTGTCCTCCTCCCTGAGCCAGACATTCCCCAGCACAGGCCCCTGGGGGCATTGCGCTTGGCCCTCCGCCCTATCATGTGAGGTCTGGGAGGGCCAACCTGAGGATGGTTCCTTCTCTTCTGTTGTAACCTCTGATTTTTAGACCACAGGCCCAAGGCCAGCTCTTCCCAGAGGGCATAAGGCAGTCACCTGGAGTCGGGTGTGGGACGCCTGGTTAGTCAGGCAAGCCAACTTCCTCATAACTCTAGTCCTGTGACCTTGGGCCTGCAAAGTCTCTAAAGCCCTTCCTAACACTTAGCTCCACCCCCCAGGGTTTCACCATTACAATGAAAATGGTGGGGCCTAATCTCATTTGATGGGGACAATTTAGAAGGGGATTGGGGAGTTTCCTTCCACAACCCTTTTCCAAGGATCAGTCCCTGTGAGCAAATCTGCAACCTTGGGGCAGGTCCTCCCTCCCCTGCCTCGTTATGGAGGAGCAGGGCCCTCTGGCTTCCAATAAAAGAAGGAACCAAACCCAGGTGTGTGGCTGTGGTGTTCCTGTTTCTGACGGGGTGTAGATCTGGGTGGGCCCAAGTTGTGGTGGGGGAGGGGCAATGTTTTGGAGCTCAGGATTTTGGGGTCTCTTTGATGAGGGGGTGACAGGCAGCTGGGAGGGCTTGGGCAAGGAGGGCTTAGGTGGGAGACTCTACTGAGGAGACAGCTTAGCAGGGTCCGATTGCAACTCTCATTTTTGAGATTTGGTCCCTTTGCTTTTGTTGACCACTTGACCCCACCAGGTGACCTTGTGCCTGGGGCAAGGAAGAAGCTGGAGTTGGCCTCACTTCTGAACCCCAGGATGGGAGCTTCCCCTACATTCAGGTTGCTGGTCCCACTCTTCATCTCCACATTAGCACCTGTCCTAGAAAAAGCATAAAATACAAACACGTAAAATACCAAAAAAAAAAAAAAACAAAAAAAAAAACCCAAAACCCAAAAACCCAAAACAAAAAAAGCCCCAAACAACATACAAACCCATAAATACAAAGTGTATCATATCCCACTCTGTTTCTCAGGAGCCCCCTAACACCCTGCCCAGGCTGCCCCTCTTCAGCCCCATCCACGGGCTGAGCCACCTGTTTCATCTAATTGGACTTATTCTCAATTTTTTTTTTTATATTAGAAACTTGACGAATGTTTCATGGACTGTGTCCCAGTTTCCTGTTGCTGTTGGTAAAGACAAAGGGCAGATAGGAGCAGGTGGGGAGGCTCAGAAAAACATATTTGTATTTATATTTAGAAATGATGTTCATAAACATAGTTTCTAAAAATAACCTACTTATAAGAATAATATGTCCCCAAGACAAATGAATTCTAGAATAAGATCAGGTTCAAGATGCATCATCCGCATGCATCTCCTATTTGGCTCCGGGATGCACCCGTACCTCGTATTTGGCTCCAAATCTTTCATCCTCAACTGGTGGTATTTGGCGCCATCTAGTGACAATAGTAGGAACAGCAAGAAGAGCTGATGGGAGGAGAGAGTCCACCTCCTCAGAGCAGATGGGGACCATAAGTATCCCAGACATCTCCAAATGTTAGACTCAGCTGGAGGTTTAGAGGGACAGTGTTTTCAGCTGTGGCAAGAAATCTGCGGCCCTAAGGACCACAGAAAAATACCAAGTGCCGCTTGGAGTTCTGTCCCATCTACAGCTACTCTTTCTTGAAGCTGATGTCATCTTTTAGGACATCTCCTCTCACAGCTTCTCCGGCATGAGGGCAGTGGAGGTGGGTGAGGACTACCTGCCACCTCCATCTGTGTGTCCCCAGGACGTTTTATGGCTGGGCAGAGCTGCCTCCATGCTCCCGGCCCATCCCCCACCTGTGTTTTTATCCATCTGGGTTAGTGCTTTCATCACCTTCCTAGTGACCTGAGGGACCCTGAGGTGGGCCTGTGTCTAGAGCCCTCCCCGGTGAGGAAGGAGGACGAGTCACACAGAGGAGGGCAGAAGCCACAGTGGAGAATCTGCCCTGGAGTCTGCTGAGATCCTAAGAAGGGACGGTGCCGGCCACCGGACCCCAGTGACTGAGCCAGCAGGAGAGCACGGATGGATGGCCGTTTCTCCTACGTGGCCATCCCTGGGCGAGGGATCTGAGCCTCCAGGCTGGAGGAGGCTGGGTCCAGAGATGAGATCCAGGAGGCCCAGGACCCTCCCAGAGCCAGAGGGAAAGGTCACCTCCGCGAGGCTGCAGGGCTGGGGTTCAGCTTGCTGACACAGGACTCACTTTTCACAGACTGTGTTGATCCAGGGTGGCTTCGGGTGGGCCCAGAGGGCAACATTTTGCCTTCTTGCCCTTTCACACTCTTGACAGTGACCATTCCTGGACTCCAGAAACTGCTGTCTAAACATCTGCCTCTCAGATCAGCCCAAGAGTCAACCTGAAGGAGTTGCCTGGAGTGTGCCGAGATATCAGATTCTGCCAGGTGGCGAGGAAGCACAGGTGGGGAGGGTGGGTAAGGGCAAGTTCACTGTGGGGGTGTTTTCAGAGGTGCTTCTTTCAATCATGAATCAGACAGGAAAGCAACCGACTCTCTCTAAACAAACAGCTCTTCTCCATCCTTGCTGAGTAGATGAGTAAAATAGGGATCCAAACAGTGGAGTCGTATTCATCCTTGAAAAAGGAATGAAGTACTGATTGATACACACTACCTACCTCCTGGTTGATTTCGAAACATTGTGCTAAATGAAGGAAGCCAATCATCAGAGACTGTATCTTGCACAGTTCCATCTATGTGAAATGCCCGGTGTAGGCAAATCTGTAGAGATAGAAAGTAGATTGGTGGTTGGCTAGGGTGGGGGATAGGTGAGCAGCGCTTGCTGGAAAATGCATGGCTTCCTTTCAAATAGCTATTTTTTTTTGGGGGGGGCAGGGTACCAGGGATTGAACCCAGGGACACTCAACCACTCAACCAGCCCTAATTTGTATTTTATTTGGAGGCAGGATCTTACTGAGTTGCTGAGGCTGGCTTTGAACTTGGAAGAGATCCTCCTGCCTCAGCCTCCCAAGTGGCTGGGATTACAGGTATGTGCCATGGTGCCCAGCTCAAATAGGTATTTTTAAAAATGCTCATTCAACACTTACTTTATRGGGGTGAGAAGAATAACTTCACGGCAACCGAAAATATATACAGTTGGCCCTCCAAACCTGTGGATTCCACTGTGGATCCAAAATAACTTTTCAAAAAATGTATCTGGGCTGAACATATATAGGTTTTTTTTCTTCTTATTCTTCTGTAAGTGATACAGTACAACAACTCTTCACTTAGCATTTACATTGTGTTTAGTATTAAAAGTAGTCTAAGGGGTATTTAAAGTGTGCCGGAGGATGTGTGTAAATTATATGTAAATTCTATGACATTTTCTGAAGGAACTTAAGCATCCACAGGTTTTGATATCTTTGGGGATCCTGAAACAATCCCCCAATGGATGTCGAGGGATGATTGTACCTATTCACGTATGAACCAAATAAGGTATTTTTTAATATGCGGTTTTCTACCCTAGATTACTTTTTGAATGGAATACCAGATGTTAGCAATTCAGATAATAAAATCATGTAAATGACAAAAAAAAAAAAAAAATAAGAACCCTCATTAGCAGTACAAAATCGGATACCATGCACTCTTTCCAGTTGGTGACTGCATCTTCAATGAGCTTAAGGGACTTTTTTTTTTATTCCACTGGGCGGCGCTGCTCACCTAGGTGGGGGCAGAGAAGCCCCTCCGCAGGGTGGCTCATTGCACAGGGGCAACAGGAGCGAAGTCGTCTTGAGGTTCCCGCCTTTTCAGAATCAAGACTAGACAGCCAATCCTGGGTAGGAATACAGTTGCCAGGTGGAATCCTACCCCTGTTCCCACCCCTGATGGGAATATTCCTGTCCTTTAAAGTCCAAATCCACAGAATTAAGAGGTGAGCCACTTTCAGGTGGGCAAAAGAGTCAGCTTCCTTTGTTGGGGCACCCTGACCCAGGCCTGTAATCCCAGCAACTTGGCTGGGAGGCAGGAGACTTGCAAGTTGAGGCCAGCCTCTGCGACTCAGTGAGAGCCTGTCTCAAAATTAAAAAATGCCTGGGGATGTATAACTCCGTAGTAAAGCACCCCTGGGTTAGATTCCCCACTCCCTCCTGCTCCTCTCCCCTGCAAAAAGTCAGCTCCTCTCCTCCTGTGAAACTTTCCATTCAACATCTGTGAAGGGACACAGCCTGCACCCACCCGTTCCTGCTGCGCCCCCCCCCCTTGCCTAGGATGAGCAGGGCCTGGGGCTCTGGAAGACAGCCTGGCCTAGGTCACAGGACTGGCCTAGGTCACAGGAGGGCTATCAGCCCCTGGCCCACTTGAAGCCCCTGCTGTCCATAGGTCACAGAGAAGTAAACTATGGGATAACTCTTCAGAGCTCTGGCAGGGATTTGCCTGGTGAAGGCGGGAGGAGACCCCAGGCCTGGTGGGGGCAAAGGACCCTCATTTGGGGGCAAAAAATTGGAAAAGGAGAATCAGCTGGGCCTCTGTGGACAGAAACACGGATGAGTCAGGAGCCGTGGGCACATTTCTGACAGAGACAAGTGGGAGAGGAGTCCTTGCAATTCTGTCAACAAACTAAACCACGAGAATTAAGTAAAAAAAAAAAAAAATATGTCCAATGGCAGCTTCACATTTTCTTGTCACTTCGCATCATGCTTA